AATATTTTTCCCTACTCATCTTTACTGACCGTTTTTCACTAGTTTTGTATTTGGCTAGGGTCAGTGTCGTTACTGGTAGCATGAGGCGATACCTGGACCATACAGAGGTTGCACAGGCAGTCCAACTCCTCCAGGATGGCACATCAATACGTGACATTGCCAGACGGTTTGCTGTGTCTCCTAACAGTCTCAAGAGCATGGAGGAGATTCCAGGAGACAGTTACTCTAGGAGATCTGGACAGGGCCATAAAAGGTCCTTAACCCATCAGCATGACCGGTATCTTCTCCTTTGTGCAAGAAGGAACAGGATGAGCACTGCCAGAGCTCTACAAATTGACCTCCAGTAGGCCACTGGTGTGAATGACTCTGACCAATCAGAAACAGACTTCCTGAGCGTGGCCTGAGGCCCCGATGTCCTCTAGTGGGACCTATGCTCACTGCCTGGCACCATAGAGATCAATTGGCATTTGCCATTGAACACCAGAATTGGTTCCACAGGCGCCCTGTTCTTTTCTCAGATGAGAGCAGGCTCACCATGAGCACATGTGACAGACGTGGAAGGGTCTGCAGAAGCTGTGGAGGACGTTATGCTGCCTGTAACATCGTTCAGCATGACAGTTTTGGTGGTGTGTCCATGATGGTCTGGGGAGGCATATCCATGGAGAGATGCACAGACATCTACAGGCTAGACAATGGCACCCTAATTGCCATTAGGTATCGAGATTAAATCCTTAGACCCATTGTCAGTCCCTACGCTGGTGCAGTGGGTCTGGGTTCCTCCTGGTGCATGACAATGGTCAGACACATGTGGTGAGAGTATGCAGTTCCTTGAGGAAGAAGGAATGGATTCCATTGAATGCCCCCCATTCTCGCCAGAGCTAAATCCAATAGAACACCTCTCGGATATCATGTTTTGGTCCATTCAATGCCACCAAGTTGCACCTCAGACTGTCCAGGAGCTCAGTGATGCCCTGGTCCAGATCTGGGAGGAAATACCCCAGGACACCATCCGTTGTCTTATTAGGAGCATGCCCCGACGTTGTCAGGCATGCATACAAGCACATGGGAGCCATACAAACTACTGTGTACCATTTTGAGTTGCTGCAATGAAATTTCAGCAAAATGGACTAGCCTGCTGCATCATTTTTTTCACTTTGATTTTCAGGGTATCTTTGAATTCAGTCCTCTGTAGGTTGATAATTTTCATTTCCATCAAACGATGGGGCATCCTTGCGTTCCTAACACATTACCTAGCCCATATCAGTATAGATATCCAACATGTTTCCCCATTGAGATCTAGGTTTTCAGAGTGTTCCTTTAATTTTTTTTGAGCAGTGTATAATGTAGGTGTTATCCCACTTTGGCAATACACTTTAAATTTTGGCATAGAAAACATTACATGGCTCTGTGTAATGTACAACAGCAACAAAGCACTACAGGAACCCATTGGTAAGCATTCACTAGTCATAAATGACTCATAAGGAAGAACATGAATCTACAGTTGGCTTCAAAGCAGATATAAATAGAGCAATAGTTATATCAAGCTTTGGAAACTATGACAATGAAGAAAAAAAATAAAAATAACAGAAACCTTGGGATACTACATGGACACTATGTAATAAGCAAGCTTTGTTATATTGGATGGCAATGTCTGCTGCTGCCTAATACATTTATTTAGCATGTGTTTTTATTGTTTATGCACATATTACCCCAATAATTAGCATTTTAGTATTTCTGGTCATAGTTGCAAATACGCCATTTTTAAATGTTAAACTTCAAGTAATCCTACCACAACAACAGGGACAGTGGGAGGAGTGGAGATGGCATGTAAGTAAGGTGAAGGGGTTAATATACAGGTCACCTACAGACAGCATGAGGGGGAGGAAGAAAGGTTAATAACATTTGAACAACCTCACATAACAGCTGCTACTGACCTGGAATTACATTTAACAACTTTGTATAACTAATCCCAGTATTAGATGAATTGTTTGCACAATTGCACATTCAGAGAAAAAAAAAAAAATAGAAGTCTATGGATATTGGTCACGCAAATGTGGTTAGCACAAACTCCATTTAGGGGTATTAACAGACCTCGGAATGGAGGCCTATATGCATCTGAGGAGAGAAGGACAGGAAGGTGGGTAGAGTACAAAGAATAAATGCACCAGTGACAAAAACAATGATGCTAAACTGAAGCCAAGTGTTACCTGCAGGCACCTAGATGTACCTGCATGTACCTTTAGAGCTCTTAAGAAAACCTCTGGCACCCCACAGTGTGGAGGTTTCAATATGCTAATTACAACTGCAGTACAATTCAACCTTGGGCACACCCTCCCTGTTAGTCTTTTGCTGAAATCAGTAGTCTTGCCTGCAGAAAGGAAAAGGTTATGAGTCAAATATATGACAACCCCCCCCCCCCCCCCCGCAATCATCACCGCAATACAATCCCAATGCTTTAAAGTGTCACTAAACCAAGAGAAAAACAGTCATAACATACTGTGCATTATCACTCATCCAGTAAGGAATTTGTTTTATGTACAGTGAAAAATACCTGGTTGAACCTGCCCTTAGCGGCTGCTTCGTGCCTTCTCTGTGTCTCCAAAGATTGTACAGCTCGCCCGTTGCCACATCTATTGCGTATGCTCTGTTCTCTCTTTAGGTTCTGAGCATCTCACGTGACTATAGAGTCACACACATGGTCGTATATACAATCCACAGGTCAACTTAGTTTGGATTAACACCGCACACACTATTTTTGTGGTGTCAGCCCTGCCCAGTGTCTTTTGCTAATCTGCTCAACCACTCCCACTCTCAGCGCTCTATAAGATAAAGGCTAAATTATTCTGTAGTCGAAGATAAAAACTAGGAGGGCTAAACAGGTAACACAATAAGTGTGCAAAGAACAAAAAGGCAGCTCTGAGTTTCTGACAAGAACACCCATTTTTGTTGTTCGCACTTTTCAAACAATTATAGCAAAACGCTTCAAATATCAAAAAGGGAGCACATAAGAGAAGTTAATCGTTTAAATACCCTTTAAGTGATAATGTGCATAACACAGAACCCTGGGTTGTACAGCTTCTGGGGTACTCTGAGGTTTCTGAAGCATCTCCGACTGCCTGAAATTACATTTTGCTTCCATTTGACACAGAAAAGCTTTATAGTATCATAGCATTACTTACCATCAAATACATGCTAATGAGGACTTTGCATGCAGTTATATGAAAAATACTTTAACCTCTATGTTAAGCTGTGTTTGTATGTAGTACAAATGAGACACCCTAAATCCAGTTTAGCAACCCTAGGTGTACATTACAGCCTGTCAATTTGCAAAACTGGGACAGGGTGTAACTACAAAGTCATAAAAAGAACTGATGCAGGACTTCTAGCTTTGTAGGGAGCAGTTTCAGCAATTTATCCAAATTTGTGCTATAATTTAAATCTTCATATGTTTATTTGACAGATTAAAAAATAAATTAAAATGCATCTAAACTCAATAAAATCTCATACAACCTTTACCATATAAATTTAGTTTCAAAAGTAAGTTTCAATCTTTTTAAAACTGCAACTTTCATTAAAGTAAATCTGGTAATTCTGTTATGAACACTTTTGCCCAGGTACTTACTGTTACAGGGTGACAAAGTTCTGTCTCCCAATCACTCTCCTGTGCTCTCACCCCCGTCACATTTACTTGCAGTTGAATTAGACGTGTCGACACTCATAATGCTGGCATGTTACGCCATTGTCACCATCAGCAGGTCAACCCTAAGCAATGACATGCAGCTGTAGCAAATGCTGGGTAAGTGTGCATGCCTGGGGGATGACTGTGCAAATAGTTACTTTGCTCTGTATCTGCAAAATGACTGTCTACTTCGGTCTCTCAGAACAAGGTTCCAAAAATCACTCCACAAAACAATTACATATGAGTGTTTACTTTATTGCAAATTCTAGATAGTTGCAAACTGGGACTGGACAATCCAGTGGTTTTTAAAAAGCAACTAAAAGATTTGGGAAATATGAAATAAATTGAGTATATCTTTTCTAAATATTTGAATGCACTCAACACTGTCCATATACCCTGATCCTAAAAAGGAGTGCGCACTGAAATCTTTCACTGCCAAAAGGACATATTTGCCACTTTGCAGTGATAGGGCATTGTTTCATAAAATGTTGCAGAGGACAGTCATGCAGTAACCACCTGCCATAACTTGCACTTGTACCTGCTAAAAAGCAGAGATACGCCGGTTTGCAATGGGTTACTGCACATCAATGCTCTGTGCAACGTTATCACAACGTAATTAAGGCAGGAAAACGTAACCCTTTAACTGCCAAGTTAGCCATATAACTCTGGCAGTTTAAGGACAAGATTGAGCATACATGCCAGCAAATAACTAGGGACACAAGATATTTGAAATACATGAACTGCTCAACTGGGCAAAACACATCAACCTTTGCTTCAAATAGCTTGTTTCACTTCAGACAAGTGAAAAGCAAGGAGCGCAACACGCTATACCCCAATGAGGCAAATATCACCCTCCATATATATGTTAGCCATGATTCCACAGCAAAATCACTGTTACAGAGCAGGCCAGCCCAAAACTATTTTTATTGTGGACTTCTAATGTAATGATACGTGGATCAGTATTTAGTGATATATGTAAATACCATTAAATAGATAAAAAAAATCCTAATATAAAAACTCCGGACAAAACAAACTGATAAAAAAAGAAAAGAAATAAAAGGATAAGGGGACACTGTTAACGTTGACATTTTCTTAAAAAATAGAACTGTTTTCATGGATATTAACTTTTGATGGGGGGGGGGGGGGGTCCCACAAGACTCCTGGTTGTTGCACATGTTAATCACTGCCTATGTGGGCCTGCCCCACACAGAGAGAAGTCCGCCTGGATCAAGTCCGGAGGAGTTGAACTCTGCAGAATCTGTTTTTATTTTTTGTTGTCTTGTCAATCCAAAGGGAGGAGTTGAAGAGAAAGAAAAAAGTTTCAGTCAATGTATTGTGAGAGCCAACGGAAGCCCTCGCCATAGCCTTGCCTCTTGAGCACACTGCACATAAACACTTCCATGGGGCGAGCATTAAGATCCTTCAGTGGCACATTTCCCTGCAGATGAAGGGAGATAATGTTGTTAGCCTTGGCACAGCATATACTGTAAAGGAAAACAAAGCTATGCACATACAAAGCCATGGCATTATGACCATCTCCTCTTATTCTGCACATCACCATACTTTTTATATTTTTTTTTGAACCTTGTCAAAATAGTTCTCCCAATAATATCACTCGTGTGATTCCCTACACTTAGGGTTCCCATATATAGCCCGATTCTCGGTTAACTTAATGACCTGATACTAAGATTGTAAAGTAAAGCTTTGCTAGGAAAAGAAAGGGCTCCAGATTGTTAGATGTACGCATTACAAAAAACAGACTTTATTCCTGCTTAGAAAGTATCTGCATGACAGGACCAATTATTAAAAAAGTAAAAGATAGTTTAATCGTGCATGCACAGCTTGCCCGCATATGTTGAACTGTACAGATGCTTGCAGCAGTTCCCGGAAAGTTTTAGAAATCTCATTACCCCTCTGTTTTCATGAGACACCCGTCCATCACTAAACAGTAATACTATTCTATCAGTTTGCTATTATAATCAAGGAGTATTACACATTAGGAAGATAGACAGATGGGCTTTTGGGAGAAGATAAAGATCGGTTTCCCCCAACCTAAAAATGGGTATCTGAAAGCAAACTTTCAAAAAGCTAAATCACAGTAATTATCTAAAGCTGATAAAATGGATATCAAAATTATTCCGTGAAAGATAAAAGGTCTTACTTTTCCTGTGGTTTGTCCATAAAGTCCGAATATTTCTCTCAGCCTCTCTTCACTGATTGCGTCAGCTCTGTCAATTTTATTCCCAAGAATGAGGATTGGCACATTAGATATCGTTTCATCTGTCATGAGTGCCTATATGATTTAAAGGGGGGAGAAGCAGGTCAATATAAAATTAATATAATTTGAACAAAACATTTAACAGATGTGTTAAAAAAAGATTGTGTTCATGTGATATGGTTTAGGACACAAGACTACCTCATGGAAGTGCAAAAAGAATTGATGTGCAGTAACCTACCTCAAGCAGTGCTCAGCGTATAAAATGCCATTGTAGTCAGACTGATGAAAGCTGACTGTTGACTGGTTATTGTTGTCACAGGTCACTGCCTTCTGAATATTCCCCTTTGTCAAATGATTAACTCCTCTTTAAATTTACAAGCATGTCTGTGAATATACGGTTACAAGTGTTTACAAGCAGGGATGGGCTCAGGAGTGTTTAGATCCTAGCCCAAACCCACCAGGAAGCTGTAACTGCACACCACCAAATCATAAGCAACCACAGCATTTCCCACCCTGTCGCTATACTTATACACACCCCTTGTATATGTGTGGCTGTGGGACAGGTGATGCCTCGGTCGCCTCTGATTGACAGTGTGCAGTGACTGCTTCCTGGTGAGATAACTCAGATGGGTTTGGACTGGAATCCAAACATGCCTGAGCTCATCCCTATTTGCAACCACGCATGTCAATTTGAATGCATTTCTGCACTTGTGTATACACCTGTCTAAACCAGAGGTAAGCAATCTTGACACTCTAGCTGTGGCAAAAATCTAAATCCTAAAAGACACTGCAAGACTGCTACAGTGGCATGACGAGATTTGCACTTCATCACAGCTGGAGTTTGCCTACCTGTGGCCTAGTCAGACTTTTCAATGACATCCAAGGCAATAGTAAAGAGGAGCTCGTAAGAATGCAAATTAAGAGCTAGTAAATGGCAAATTATTTATAAATGCTACATTGTCTAGTTCTTGTTTATTACTGTTATAAAGCAGGTGTACATTCTGCTACATTCAGCCTTGTTTAATAAAAAAAACAAAAAAAAAACACTGCTTACAGAAAGGGGAATTTACAGACTAAGGCAGCCAGAATACACAAAAGCTGTGCATTTTCAACATTTAAAGCAGAATTAAAGCCACTACTTTACCAGTTTCACCCAAGACACATTCAAGGCATACCTTGAATTACAACTTTTACAGTTACCAGTGTGCTTGTTTGCTCCCAATCAAACAGTCAAGCCAACAAATGGATGGTGTCATAGCGAATCACAAGTGCATCACCATGGCACCTGCAGATCAATGTATGTATAGGATAGGAGGATCTACTTCTGCTTTAAAGTGGTTGTAAACACTCAGACATAAAATATGAACAAAGTATATCCCTCAGTGTGCACTTGTCTCAATTAAGTGCACCAAGTGCCATTTCTGTCTGAGGCTTCATTCCTCTGCTATCATCATAGATGACTTCTGACAAGTTTTCCTGACACCAAAAGAAAAAAAGCACAGCTGCTCCATATTCTGCTCCAGGTTTTGTCAATTCCCACCATTGTCATGATGCTAAACTGAAAAATAGAGTTAGGATTCACATACACTTTGCTGTAGCCTATAGCAACCAATATTGGTCTACCTTCAGCACAGTGAATTGTGATTGGTTTTCTAAAGGCTACTGAATTTAAAGAATCTTTATTGAATAAAACCAAAAAAGTGTATTTCCTAAAAGAGGAGATACAGGCAGAAAACCTAAAAATTTCTCTATTACAAAGTTCAAAGGCATAAAACAAAACTGGTCATAAAAGTGTCAGGTTTGATCTATTTCTGAAGGTAAATGGCTTGCAGCAAAATAATGCAGCAATAAAATACACAAGAGGGTAAACAAAGCCCTGTGGATTACTGATGCAACAGTCAGCCATGCACATGGGTTATTACAGCTTTCCCGGTGCTATCTGGTTATAAAAAGACTAGCTTTCTTGGGAGAGATTGGACACAGAACCAACCAACAATGCAGTTTTGAAACCAAGTGGCAGAACAACTGATACCCATTAGATAATGTCACCTGATTTGTGCTGTCGAATTGGAAATGTCAATTATTCCTGGTTTGAATTCACACTGACTGTAGTCAGTTATCTATAGTTACACGAAATCTTAGTTCTTTATGTTAATGCTTCCAGATTTTTTTTTTTTATATATAAATTAACAAAACATATCTCTGCAGTTCTTATATAAATACCCTATCTTATAAAATGCTAAAATGCATTCTGGTCCTTGTTTACCGGTAAGTCCACTATAAAAATCAGCAGCACTGCTGCAACTTTTGCAAAGTCTGTATAGAAATATTCCCAAGATCACAATATACAGCGGCAGTATGTTTTCAAAAGAACAAAAAACTTTCATCCTTTAATAAAAAGGTAGTATTTGAGCTCAAAACATGTAACTGTGTTAGGATTGAGAATTACTTGTGGAAGAATGTCATCAGTATACTGCTGGGATGAAGCATTCCTTTATTTTCCCTCCCCCAATTACTCATACAGAAAATATACTGTAACATTGTGAACACACATATGCAACAAAAACAGTTTTTTAAACTTAGCTGTTGAAAACTGTTTGATTAGGCTTTATATATTAGTAACATTGTACTACTCTGGGGAAGGGATTAGGTTTTTTTTTTCTACAGAGTATGATTGCTTATACCAGTGAATTTCACTGGTATAAGCAATCATTTTTACTGATTGAAATGGATTCAGTGTGTATTGTTGTGATTAGCTGTGATTGGTCACAGCTAAATCACATGGTACAGATGGGCTATGATTGGCCCTGTCTGTACTATGATCACAGTGACCAATCACAGCTAGCAACACAAAATTGTACACAATGAATGGTATGAATCAAAGCCATTCATTGTTTACAATTGCCATGTGATCTGCTGTGATTGGTCACAGCGATCACATGGTACTGGCAGTGGCTGGTACAGTGATTTGTCATTGGCTGTGTGCCCACAGCAAGGCCACAAGACGTGTGTTCCAGGAGGACGTCATATGACGTCCACCTGAAACAACTAAAGTCCCGCCCGACTGTCATTTTGCAATAGGCCAGGTGGGAGCCAAGCTAGGAGTTGCCAACACCAGAAAAGAAGACTGGAAGCAATCTGATTTGATTGTGATCCACAGTTCAGAAGTAAACATAGTAGATGTGAGGACATAACATAACAGCTTTGTGTCAGCCAGTTACTTACATTAAGCTCCACTTTGGACTCCATAAGGCGTGAATGGTCTACACAATCCACAAGAAACACAATTCCATTGATTGCTGGTAGATAGTTTTTCCAAACACGCCGAGCTGAACACCAGAAAAAAAAAAGAAAAAAAATAAATTAATTGAAAGGAAAACCAACAAGATAAGTTAACAAAAGAGCAAAAGTCTCTTCTGGTTACAGGTCTGAAGAGGTGCACATTATAAGGGGCTTTTGGGAATGGGGAGAGTATGTGACCTCCTTCCAGAATGCAATGCTTAGGCCTGAGCACCCAATCACTAAGCCCAAGCATCAACCCTGTGTAAACTTTGGTACTACATGACACTAAACATACACAGGTGTAGTCTACTGAATGGGCAAAGTGACAGCCTCTGTAAAATGATTCATGCAGTTGTAAAGAGACACCATAAAAAAGGTCTTTAGAATATTTAAGTCTTTTATATACACATGAAAACAAATATACATGCACAATTCATAAATAGGCATGTGACAGTCATGTTTGACGGTTTCAAATTTAGACTCTTCCTAAGTATTTCTGCACAGTGACTGTGCTTTACTGCTCCTCCCTCCAACTGCATGTCTGTAGGAAAGATCTGACCTGACAGAAAATAGATACACTCTGGCTTATTTAGTTTACCTTTTTATTATATCTCAGCAGTTCCTATTTTGCAATAGAGAAAGGAACTCTAAATCTGCATATAAAATATAGTCAGCACCCATGAAACTGACTAAATATGTTATTTAAAGCACCTGTTCAGCAGAAGCCGAGTCAAAAAAAGGCAAGCAGAGGGCAAAGAAACATTCGCCGATATTGCCTGAAGGTTCCCTTCAACTTTCCTTGTAAATTACACTGTCTCGGTGGAGACAGCCATCTTGCTAGAGGAGCTGAGTTTTGCTTCCTTGTGCCAGAGCTGCCTTCTTGATTACTGGTGGGGCAATATTTAAGAAGCAACTGGAAAAATTAGCAATCCACAGACTAGATAAAACAGAAGGAAGAACCTTGCACTCCACATCCTCAAATATACATTTCTTTCTAGCAAGGAGACCACCATTTTTACAAATTATGCGAGGCTAGAAGTCAGTGAGAAAACGTTCAACATTTGAAATTCCACAGCTTTTAATTGTTCCTATTCAAGCCTGAGCGTAGTGTTGCTCTAAAAACTCACACAGCCTCTGCATCCAGACGATGTAACGTATACAGGAGATCCACTGCTCTAGTCCAGTGCACAACCGCTGAAAGACGCTGTGCTTCCGATTGCAGAGGGCCAATTCGGGGCTGTGGGGCGCTAAGCTGTGTCGACCTGAAGTGCTGTCAGCACTATGCACGTAAGGGGAGTGGCTAACACGTTTCAGAACCACCCAGGAGGCTTTGACAAAAGGAAACGGACAGTTCCAAAACATGTTAGCCTCCCCCCCCATCGCGCCGATATCACTTCGGGACCCCGAGACTCCGTGTCTCTGATTCGGCCCTCTGTCACAGGGAACACAAGGTCTTTCAGCTGACCTGCACCAGGGTGGAGCGGTGGATCAGCTGTATGCTTTACATCTTGTGGATGAGAAGGCTCATTGACACGGTGTGTGATAAGCACCTGTTCTTTTACAAGTGAGTTGCTTATTGTCACCAATTATCTGGTTTAGTTTTATGCTGCATGCAGAGTGGTGCCCTTTTTTTTTGTGTTTGTTTGTTACTGCAGAGATTACTTCAAGTCTCCAAGGAGCTGCCTTGTAGTGCTGTCATTCAGTGGATAGACAAACGAAATCAGCGCTCAAATCTTCATGCAAACCAAGGAATTGCCAAAATGCCAATTGAAGAGGTGCTGCCCTTCTGAGATCAGGAAATCTGACCACTGGTAAATGAAAACAAACAAGGGCGCACTCTCATCGTGCATTACCGTGGTATACCACGTAATTTATTAATGAGTATACATCCTTTTTTATTTAATAAATTACGTGGTATACCACGGTAATGCACGATGAGAGTGCGCCCTTGTTTGTTTTCATTTACCTGCTGTCATTCAGTAGCTTATCAGCTGGGACTTGTGGTGCCTGTAGTAGTTCTCATGGGTCCGCAATATGGTGTGCCCCCTCCTATGCACCACCTGTGCTACCTGTTTGATTTTTACATTGAACCTGCACAATGAACATTGCAAATATTCTCTTTAGCACAATTTAAAAAAGAAATATTAAAGTTCAATTGAAGTTGAAGGAAAAAAAAAAAATAGAAATTTAATCAGATATCAACCCGATTTCAATATTACTCCTCCACTTCCCTGATATAGGGTGGCTAAATATCACTGTACAGAAGACACCAGTGTTTGACCGCCCTGCCCAGCGTATTCTCTAATCCAACAGACCCGGCCAGAAAAAAGAAAACCCTCTCCTCCTCACAAGTCTACACGTATAAATATTTTCAGAAGATTAATTTATCTGGCCCAATAAAGCACTCATTCTTAACGTTTAAAAAAAAAAAAAAAAATCTTTCTTCATTTTTCTCATTTACCTTAAGTCAGGGGTGGGCAACTGTGGCCCTCCAGCTGTTGGTGAACTACAAGTCCCATCATGACTCTGCCTTTGGGAGTCATGCTTGTAACTGTCAGTTTTGCAATGTCTCATGGGACTTGTAGTTCTATAACAGTTGGAGGGCCACAGTTGCCCACCCCTGCCTTAAGTCATGGTTATGTGATCATCCAGCACTGGGTCCCACACCTCTCTGCTTACTTACTGCTGCGGTTCTTCTTACAGGTGTCCATATCACTGTTTGCGTGACATGGACAATTCCCACTGGCTGTCCCCTGGAGTCCTCTCAGAAACCAGAAGACTATGGCTATTGGCTCTAGGGAAGTCAAGGGGAGTGGAAGGCAAGGGCTAATCTCTGGTGCTGGATTAGCGACTCCTGTAGGCAGAAATGGCATCAGCGAGGGAGCTGGATGGGGGACTTAGGCGAGTATAATTTGCTTCACCAGGTAAGAAAACCTAAGCAACTCACAGAATGGGTTAGAGGAGGGTCAGAGGGAGGGAGTGATAGTAGGGAGTTTTTGGGTGAAGTTGGGCCTTGGCTGTATGTAGTGTCATCCACCTAGCTGCACCATTTGGCAGCAAAATTATGAACTGGATGGACAGAGGCAAACCGCCTCATTTTAGAATATATATTTATATTACATATATACACACACATAGATATAGATCTCTCTCTCTCTACATACATACATACCTCTCAAGTTACACATGTTGTAATCTGATAAACTAATAAGTAGGAATGAAATGCCTACCTTGTTCATGCCCGCCAAGGTCAAAGGTTGTGAAGGTCATTCCAGCAATCGTCAACTCTTCTGATGCTAATGAATAAATAATTTACATGTTAGACTTCACAATGAAGAGAAAAAGGCACATCTATAATAAATGTAAAAAATTAATACAAATATGATAAATACAAAGAGTCTAAACCTTCAAGCTAAGGAGTTTGTTATTTCTTCTGTTAAAAATCTGTGTAATATATGATATATGGCCCATGCAACTTGGTCCCACACCTCCCTCCCTGTCACCCCCTCCTTTTTTTTTTCTTCCTAGATATCAAGATTCAGTGGGGACACTGCCCAGAGTGATCCATGTCACACCAGACTGACCCCTCTCCCAAGCCTACGAAACGCTCGTGGTGTAGGGCTCACCGAGATGCACTTTGCTGCTACATAGGCTCCTAGTGTTCTTGATCGCTAATTTTCTTTACTTACCTTTTCTCATCCGTACACTTCTCCTGTGTTCCTGGCCATTTCCTCCCCCCTCTTCGCCACGGGGGTGGTGTCAGGTAGTCCTCAGGAAATCTTCAAGTTCTACTTATATCAACAAAATGGCGTTTAACTGGCTTACTTTGAACGTGCAGGACCTCAATTCACCCCAGAAGAGAGTTAAGGTCTTTAAATATTTTCAGGCTCAAAAGCTTGACCTGGCCTGTTTACAGCTAACCCACCTGTCCTCTGGGCACATGCCGAGGTTTCTTGCGATGGTAGATACCAACGCATTTATCACTCCTCAGATGCAGTTAAAAAGAGAGGAGTCCTCACAGCAATCTGTAATGGTGTATCCTTCTCGGACCATCAGGTCAAAGCGGATCCTCAAGGTCGACACTTGATCATAGCGGAGACGATCCAAGATATCAAAATGATTCTCTGTAATTATTATGCTCCGAACCAACAACAGTTGCGCGTTTCCTCCCATCTTTTAACTGTATTACAATCCTATCAGAAGGGCCATCTGCTGCTTTGTGGTGACTCCAATATGATTCTGAATCCAAGATTAGGCAGATCACCTCCTACTACTTCGGCCGCCCCGGTGTCATCTTCCCACTTTGCGACTGCGCTCAAAGCCAATGACAGTGGATGAGTGGCGGAACTTCATCCTACCTGTAAGGCTTACACCAATTTTTCTCATCCTCATAATAGTCAGTCATTCTAGAATTAACCATATTCTGGTGACTCCAGCTTTTCTGCCTTCAGTCCTGATCCATGCAGTCCTTTGGTCAGATCAGGACCCTATTTTGGCACTTTGCAACGCGTCGCACCAAAGCTCCCGCTCCTCGACGTGGTATCTCAATGACTCTTATCTTTCTCCCAAATAGTAGAAGACATCAAGATCCATTCTCCAGATTACTTTCGGAATAACACTCACTGTCTCATCCCCAACTACTTTGTAGGAAGCTTACAAAGAATTTATATGTGGCCATATCATTTAAATTATCCTCGTGGCGCCGCAAAGAACGCAAGCAACGTAAACTAGCCTTAGAGAAGGACTTAAAGACAGTAACGCAGCTTTTAAAAAAATCTCTATCGGTGCATAACAGGAAGCATATTGAACAACTGCGCACAGATCTTAATCTCTGCCTTACAATTGAGGCGGAACTCCACCTTCGCTGGTCTCGCCAAACGTTTTACGCAGACGGCAATAAAATTGGCGCTATGGTGGCTAATAGTCTTCGTTTGTTTGCCCCGAAGCAACACGTCTACACCTTAAAAACCAGGAACCATTTATGCACTTCTAATCCACGTCACATTGTCGACGACTTCCACTTTCATCTCTAAAGATTATATGCGGGCAAGAGGGAGGCTGCCGCGTAGATCTTTGAATATCTACAACAAACCCCCCTGCCTGAAATTACAGCTGACCAATGGTCAAACTTGAGCGCAGACCTCACAGAAGCTGAAATCAGATGCACAATTATGGAGCTGAAAATACACAAACGTGCAGGTCCAGATGGCTTTACAGCCTTGTTCTACAAGAAGTTTGCCGACTTAGTGACACCCACCCTAACCAAGACCTTTAATCAACTTAAGCACGAGGGCCACCATACATCTGATATGCTTAAGGTACACAGAGTGATGCTTGCTAAACAGGGTAAAGATCTGCAAACATGGGCTAATTACCGCCCTATTTCCCTACTCAACCTAGACATCAAGATCTTGACAAAGACCCCGGCAATCTGACTGAACCACAAAGGTAATCCACAAAGATGAAGCAGGCTTATTGGCCCACCGTCAAGCAGCCAACAACATACGTTGTACACTTTTGCTTAGCCACTTAGCCCTACAGTGCTGGTGTACGGAGGATGAATTTTTGAAGTGGATTTCAGCCTTATATAGCGTTCCTTTGGCTACAATCCGGTACCATAGGATACAATCTCTTTTGTTCTCTGTAAGGAAGGGGGGGGGGGGTACCTGCCAGGGGTGCCCTCCCCCCACCCCTTCTCTTTATATTAGCACTCAAGCCCCTTGCCGCTCAAATCCGATCTCACCCTGATATCAAAGGTTTAGAAATAGCAAAGATCCAGTACAAAACTGCACTTTTCGTGGATGATATTTTGCTATATTTGACCTCGCCGCATATATCTCTTCCAAACTTACAGACACTTCTTACTCAGTTCGTGTCTTTCAGGCCTGCACATGAACCCTACAAAATCCATGGCACTAACTATCTTCCTGTCTCCAGTGTCCCAAGCCCACATTCAGGCACAGTTTCCTTTTCAATGGACCCAGACATTGCCACACTTAGAAGTAGTCCTTACCCCTACTTATGATTCTCCCTACCAAGTCAATATTCCACCACTACTTCGCCAACTGAGAACCCTACTTTCCTCTTGGAACTCTATGTCCATGTCTTGGCCGGGCCCATGCTATTAAAATGTCATACCTACCAAAATTGCTCTAACCTTTCCACATCCTTCCTATTCATATTCCGTACTCTACTCTCCATATACTGCAGAGACAAATCTTGGACTTCATCTTGGTCTCAGGACGTCCTAGGCTATCTCGCCATCTTCTCCTCCGCCCTAGAATCCGAGGCGGGTTGGAGATCCCACATATTCAGCACTACTACGTAGCTGTTCAAATCACATCCCTAGTACAATATTTCTCAGGACCCAACCTTTTCTGCTCTGGGCTTTGCTGAACATCTTGGAGGTTCACCCATTTCAACCATCTTCCATTATCTGGCTCCCCCACTGTCCAAACCTAAACCTCGCAACCCCATTAAAAATATGGGATATTTCTGCAAATACTCGGCCTGCCTAATGTCGCCTCGTCTCCCCTTATTACAGATATAAAACTGTCCTCTGTTCCCCCCCTGAGGAGTCTGACGAGACCGCCATCGGGTGGTGGATTACACATGGTTTCACCATCATCTACTCAATTTTGACAGCGAATGGCCTATGTTCTTTGCCGCAATTTTGAGAACACTATTATACTCCCTCTAATGAGCTGTTTCGCTACTTACAACTTAGTTATTTTATTAGACAGCTATTATGTAATACTACAACCTCGAGAACTTTAACTAGCTTTCAATCTTTATGTAAATCATCTGCCAATACGAGAGGAGCCTTATCCACCACTTACAAAGCTCTCCAAAACCAAGTTTCTGAATCTTTACACGTACTGTGTTAAATGGGAGAAAGACCTTCAGGAAGCCTTGTCACTGGAAGATTGGGTGCCAATTTGGCAATCAGTTGCCAAATGCTCTCGCAACATAAAAGCTTTGGAAAATTCCTATAAGGATATAGCAAAATAAGTTCCTGGCCTATTTGTTTGAGAGGCTGTAAGAGGGAGGGCTCGATGTGTCATATATGGTGGTCTTGTCAGGTGGCCTGGAGACTATGGATTTGTGTTTATATGATTCACTCACAACTCAATATGAGGAAAAATCAAAGAAAGGCCCTCTTATTACAATGCATTGTGGGGGGCTCCTCGGCGCTCCCGCACCCTAAATCGGGTTTATTTTTATGGCCACGAAACGGACCATACCGTGTGCATGGAGGACAGTGGGTCTTCAATTTGAGGAGGTCAAGTCCAGAGTTCAGGGCTTTTTAATTAACGAAAAGCTAATGGCTATACCAGAAGAAAAACATGACCAATTTCTTTGTCTGACCCCTGCACGCTCAAGTGCCACCTTCCTCCCAAAAACTCTTTCCTTTTCCGGTCTCTGTAGCAAAATTCTCCCCTTCTTTCTGTCTTTTCTTTTTTCTCCTCTTCTTCACTATTTTTTCTATTTTTCTTTCTTCTTTGCACTAGTGTTTGATAAGATCCATACTGGGACTTCTACCATTTCCATTTCAAGAGCCCTTACTCCTTCATATGCATTTAACCCACGTATCATAAACGGATAATACTTTACAATATTTTTTGGCCTTTTGTTCATCAGCTTCATCATTTTAATTAAGCTTCCAAAATCTAACAATTTTTAACCCCCACCCAACATAATAGTCACCATGATGTGCAGGTATTCATTTGGGGGACCAAGTTGCAAACTTCTTCTTTCTGAACCACACTAGTACACTCTAACCTCTGTATTGTTTTATCAATATGTGATATGAATTTTTTTCTTGTTCGACACTTTATGATTACAGCCATGTTGGCCCCTGCGTGAGCTACTATTGGTATTATAAAAACGTATGTGCCTGCCTCATTTGCTCATCTTATGTTGCACTTTATGGTTTATTTCTCTGTGATATACTTGTACAATACTGCCATCAATAAAGCTCTTTTGGTACCAGAAACATCTGTGTAATGGTATGACACACATTTAAAATTTTAAATGCATTGCTGAGCAGTGTCAATACAGATAATAATTACATGAAATACATGTCACTTTGATCCTCTCTATCTTGTGTCTTCAAGGTTATAAACATGATCCACCAAAACATCTAAATACAGATCATTTCTAAATGTAGCTACAAGTGGAATATGAGCAGTTGCTTGGGAGGAACAGTATCACTCTCAAGGCTTTGAATGAAAAGGCAAAGCTTCTGGCAGTCACTTCCCCTTCCCTGTTTATCACAAAATAGTTCAATGGTATC